TTCCTCCACATGGATGACCCCCCCGTTAATAGGCAGGGGGGTTCCTCCCCGAGCCCAAGTTTGGGAAAAGACATGTCAACAAACACTTGCCGGGATACACAAACAAGTTTCGCAAAAGGTTGGGACGGGGGGTTGCATGGGCCCAACAACAGAGGTAGGGTATTTTTCCGTATAGTTTAGGTTATTTTGGTTGCGGAAACCCCCCCCCCCCCCCCCCTCCCTTTTAACACATCAAAAACTTGGGCTACAACTGATGCGACGACGAGCGCTATGGCTAGCTACGCGTTGAGACGTACTCTTTGCGGCCCTCCTCAGCATCTCTGGTGCTTCACCACGATCGGGTAAAAACGAGACGGACGCCGCCAAAAGCACGTGCCGTACACAAATACCTGGTGAGTGGTTCTATTGACAACACCGACCTGATCCGCTTCGTGGGACCTGGGTGCGCCAGTGTGTTTGCAACACAATTCGTGCCCCCACCCTCCCTCCACTCCCCGACACCCAGGCCCGTTTTCTCCTTCTTTGTCATCCGACAACCCTTCCTCCCCCCCCCCGCTGCTCGATAAAAGATCGTTTGCAATGCTGTGAGCAAGAAGCGGCTTCTTCTACGTCGATTGTGTAAAAAATGAAACCAAGAACATAGCTTGGGGACCCAGCGGAGTGATTCTTTCACTCTTGGTTCTGGCATGTTTGCCCTTCACGCTGAGCTCCTACATCCTCCGAAAGACAATTCGTTTGTTCTGTGGTCGCTCGTGGGAGCCGTGTGACCCCCAAGTAAGTGTGGTACAGCGTTTTTGTTTTACATGTCCACCTACGGAGCAGACGAGCTCCCATCCCACAAAACTGTACTTTCGATATTGCCCCATGACGACTAAATATCACGACCGGTACCGTTGGACGAGCATGCGTATTCATACAGCCAAAACTTCCCTTCCCTCCATCCCCCCCCGACAATCATTTCAGCACTTTCTGCCTCGTTGGGCTCTGATGTTCCTACAAATAGCAGTAAGTGACCGACCATCAGTTGCAACAAAAAAGCAAAGGACGCGCCTTAACATTATGCTCCTATCCGCGAATCTACGGCGCCTCGATCAAGCATTTCGCAACAAGACTACGTCTCCCGCGTAGCCACGCTTCACAGACCGCACAAATTTCCGTCGAAAGACACTTGATTCCAAGCCGAATGATTTGGCTATCAGCGTTTGCATACAACGTTCCTTGATTTGTGCCGAGTTTGCTGCCACGCTCATGACCATCCGAAAACATTGTACTCCAGCTTACGCTGTATTTTATCTCGTTGTTTTTTAAACCCTTGTGTATCTCTACCACGGACCACCACCACGAAACAATCGAAACCAAAGTCACGAAACGGACTGGAAAAATAGATGAGTTGCGTGACAATCCCTTGTGTATCTCTACCAAAGACCACCACCACGAAACAATTGAAACCAAAGTCACGAAACAGACTGGAACAAATAGATGAGTTGCGTGAGATTGGAAGTGTTCGACCGGCTCACTCCCACGACAGACAGACAGACACAAAGGACACAGAACTTCCACAAGTATATTGCACCTTTGTTGTGACACGCAACAGGCACAAAACTGTAGATACGAACTAGCACAAACAACCACCAAACACCGCCCGAACTCCCTTTTTTCGTCTGCTCCGGTCTCGCCGGGCCAAGTCACAGAATGCTGGGGAATGGCGGCCGCCAACCCGCTCCTCCACGGAGCCAACCGACGCCATCAACACGCCCAAGCGCCGGCCGGACCCGAACCACCGTTTGTTTACCCTTCCGCAACCTGCTCCTTCTTGTGGTCGGGGGGGACGGGCTCCCCCGACCCGCCCCATCCGCCGCCGTTGGCGCCCGCGCAAGGGGAGAGAGCGCGGCGGCTGTGGCCGTCCTCGCGTTGCTGCTGCTGCTGCTGAAGGTACTGGTAGTAGTCCGGGTGGTGGTGGTGGTGGTGGTGGTTGAAGTGCTGCTGCTGATGGTACTGATCATAGTGATGGTGCGGATGCTGCCCGACGAAGTGCTCGTAGTGATCGGGGGGGTAGTGGTGCTGGGGTCGCCTGTAGTACGGGTGTGGCGCCGAGGAAGCGGCGTAACTACCTCCGCCGCCGCCGCCGCCGCCGCCGCCGCCAAGAAGGGGCGGGGAGTGGCAGGGTACGTGAACATCGTCCACCCTGCCGCCGCCGCCGCTGCCGCCGCCGCCGCTGCTGCTGCTGCCACCACCTGCGCCGCTGCCTGCGGCACCGTGGCCGGGATAATACCCCGGTGGCGGCGGCGGCATCGGGTACCGTGTGCCCCTTAGGTGAGCGGGGTACTTACTCCCCCCGGCAGCGGCCGCAGCAGCAGCAGCGGTGGCGGCGGCTGTAGTAGCAGCTGTGGCAACCGCAGGTGCAGACGCGTCTGTGCCCGCCGCCGCGGAAGCGGAGGTCGGGGTGGAGGCCCTTGCCGCCGCACCTTTTCCGCCGTCGCCGCCGCTTCCGCTGGAGTCTACCGGTCGATTCGTCGAGTAAGGACTCCGCGGCGGGTTTGCTAGGCTGGAGGCGTTGAGCGGGGTGGAGTAGGCGCCGCTAGCGCCGCCGCCGCTGCTGCTGCCCCTGCCGCCGCCTCCAAGGGGCGAGGGGGGCGTCGTCCAGTGCGTCTGTATAAAGACAATTCGCCAAGGGTTGTGGAAAAAAAAAAAACGGTCAACCCAGCAAAAGGTGGAGGGAAAACGAACCCAAGCGTGGGTCCGTCCCACTTGAATGTGCGGAAGGGTAGAAATGGTAAAAAAGATGCGCGCGACAAAAAAAGTTTCATCAGGTGTTTCGGGGCACCCGAAAAAAAGCGGATCGGTTTTGTTGAATCAACAAATAGAATCGCGGTCAGGCCCCAACGAGAGGCGAGAGCGTGGCTGCTAAATCAAGCGAACGAAACGCTGAAGGCGTCTGACTTTGGCTGTCTGCAATAAGTGGCTGGCCCGTAGTAGAAGTGGAGATTTAGCTTACCCCGCTGCCGCTGCCTCGGGGACCGCCTCCGCCCCTCGGCAGACAGAATGATCCGCGCATGGAGTCCGGCACAGGAGGCATCGCCCACCTTTGGATGAGGACACACAACATGCGCGCATCACGAGTCACGGGTAGCGGTCGGAGGTGGAATTGGATACCGGGACAGGGAGAAGAAGGGGAAGGAAAGAAGTAAAATCGTTGCTTCGTTCGCTCAGCTTCTTTGTTGCCGTTAAATTGGCGTGAAGATTCCATCGTCTCTCGGGAGTGCCATGCCACTGGTGAGACTCTTCTCCCGCACCAAAAAAAAACAAACAAAAAAAGCACATCCTCACCGTTTCACACGGCTCGATCATGACCAGCCAAAGACAACCACCAATCTACATACCAAACTTACACTACCACCGCAGCATTTAGGATGACGGCCATCGACGCTGTGCGCTCCACGCCCACTCACTTATCATACCCGTTCTGGTCACCCTCTCCCGGCTCGAGGCCTATCGCGGACGGAGCGGCGGCGGCAGCCTCGGCAGCAGCGGCGGCAGCGGCGGCGGCGGCCGCAGCGGCGGCGGCCCTAGGCGTGGACGCGGTTGGTACCATCGGGAAGCGGCGGCGCTGCTTGTAGAACGGTGGGAGAAGCGGTGGCGGGGAGTGGGAAGGGGCAACGGCGTCTTGAGCGCTGCCGTTGGCGGCATCAATGCTCAGGGGGCGTTTTTTCCCACTGCCGCCGCTTCCATCGGCTGCCGCAGATGATTTCTGTACGGACAATAATAAAACCGTTTTTTGGGGAAGGGAAAAAACGTGAGGACAACATATCGCTAGGACTTCGAGACGTGGGCAGTAGGGGAAGGAGTCGGCTCGCCGACCTGAGCAGATCTTTCGTGGGTGAGAAGGTTTGAGTGTTGCCAACTAAAGAGGGGGATCTAAGGCTCTCCCCAATTGACCTCGACGTTTTTCTGTCAGTTCATTCTAAGTCTGCCGGATGGTTGTTGCCAGACAAATTGCTGCCTCAAAGAGGTAAATGCTTCATCAGCTACTACCTTCTTGTCGTTGACCGAGGAGTTGGGAGAGAAGGCTTTGCTCTTCCCATTCATGCCCGATGATCGCGGGGGGGGGGGCGGCAGCGGACCGGACAGGACGGATAGGGGGAAAGAGGGAGCAATCCCATCGTTGTCATTACTGCTGCTGCTGCTGCCGCCGTGGCTGCTGTCGTTTCCACCACCACCACCGCCATCTTCTTGACCGTAGCCACCGCCACCGTCGCCGCCGCTGCTACCGTTGTCGGTCCCTTCGTCTTCGTCGTCGTCATCGTCATCATCATCATCGTCGTCGTTACTGCTGCTGCTGCTGCTGCTGCTGCTGCTGCCGCTGTTGCCGTTGCTCTCCACCGTGCGAGAGGGGGGCATTTTCTTGCGCTTGCCTGCTGCCGCCGCTGCTGCCTCTGCGGCCTCGGCTTTCGCCTTGGCTGCGGCGGCGACGGCGGCGACCGTTATCTTTGCCCTCGTCGCCGGACTCATCTTGCGCCTCAGGATCGCCGAAGACATTTCCGCCTGGCCACCAAAGGACGAGACACAAGGAAACCATCAGCTCACCATGCATGGTTTTCGGCGGGCAGGCAGCGGGAGCATGCTGCGGTCGATTTCACGAAAAGAACCCGCGCGAGTCGTGTCGAGCGGGTGGCACGACCAGTCACCTAGCACCGGCAACTCATTAGCGGTCGTTGCTTTGTCAACGGAAACAGGCAATAACTACAACTACATTAGCGGTCGTAACTTAGCCAACGGAAACAGGATGCATCGTCCGGAATCGCAGATACAGCCACGATAGCGGGCGTCCAGTTGCTCTCCGTACGTCCTGTTTTTCAACCCCGCCCGTCGCTGTGCCCTTCCTGGTTTTCGAGCTTTCACTGCTCTCGGCGGCAGAGGTACGTGCCAACCCCTTTCCCTGACTCCTAAGAACCAAGCCCTTGCCGCTGCGGCACACTTCATCACCCCCCCCCCCCCACCCCCCCCCCCCAAAGGGCATTTCCAAAACTATTCTTTTCCAAAAACCGAAAAAAAAAAAAATTTCTAAATCTACGAGTGCACTTGTTAACGGGCAGCACTGTGTCTGCCGTCTTGTTTCCCTTTTCTTTTTTTCGTTCCTACCTGGGAGATGGTGGATGCATTTCTCTTGGCAGGAGGTGCCGGTGCGGGCTTGTGCTTGGTGGTCGTGCAGTGCACCCCGCCCGTTTCCATGAGCCGCTGCTTAAACTTTTCGACGAAACCGTCTCTTGCGACACTGAAGGCGGGGGGGGGGGGGGGGGGGGGGAGGGGATTAATTTAAAAGGGGGGGGTTTTTTTTTTTCCAAAAAAGCTTTGGGAAATGTTTTTAAAAAATTTTTTTCCCCCCCCCAGGGCCGCGAAAAAAAACCGGGAAGGGGGATTGGGGAAAAATTTTTTTTCTTAAAAATTTTTTTTTTTGGCGGGAAAAATTTAAATTTCCCCCCCCAACCCCCAAATTTTTGGGGGGAACCCCCAACCCCACCACTTAACCTGGCCCCTTTTAACCCGCCCAAAAAAAACCCTTTGGGGTTTTCCCCCCCTTTTGGGAAAAAAAAGTGAAAGGGGGGGAAAAAAAATTTTTCTCCCCCCCGGCCCCTTTTTTTCCAGGCCCCGTTTTCCAAAGGGGGAACCCCAAAAAACCCCCTTTTTTCGGAAAAAAATTGGGGGCCCCCGAGCCCGG